CTGAAAGTACCAGAACTATCGATTCAAAAATTGTAGAAGTTGAACAAAAGACTGTCGAAAGTACTGATTCGACAATTAAACAAAAGATTCCTGAAAGTACCGGAGTTATCGATTCAAAAATTGTAGTAATTGAACAAAAGATTGTTGAAAGTACTGAAGTTACTGATTCGACAATTGACAAAAAGATTCCTGAAAGTACCAGAACTATCGATTCAAAAATTGTAGAAGTTGAACAAAAGACTGTCGAAAGTACTGATTCGACAATTGAACAAAAGATTCCTGAAAGTACCGGAGTTAGCGAATCAAAAATTGTAGAAATTGAAAAAAAGATTGTTGAAAGTACTGAAGTTATTGATTCGACAATTGAACAAAAGATTCCTGAAAGTACTGAGGTTAATGATTCAAAAATTGAAATTGAACAAAAGATTGTTGAAAATACTGAAGTTACTGATTCGAAAATTGAACAAAAGATTACTGAAAGTACCAGAGTTATCGATTCAAAAATTGTAGAAACAAAAGTTGTAGAAATTAAAGATTCAAAAATTGAAGTAACTAAAGATTCAGAAATTAAAGATTCGAAAATTGAAGAAACTAAAGATTTAGAAATTAAAGATTCGAAAATTGAAGAAACTAAAGATTCAAATAAACTTGGTAATAATGATGTAACATTTTGATTTCTAAGCTATTAAATGTTTGCAAAACTTAATTCAACCTACATTAAATATTTAGTTAATGATATTATTAAACGTAACACAGAAATCGTCGTCGAAGGTAATAATTGATTAGTTTTTTAATGCGTTTGATATTTATTAAAAAAAAAAAAACTTACTTTTTTTTTGCATTGCATAATTATAGAAAAAGAACCCAATAGTAAAGAAGATGATTCAGCGGATAGTAGTTGTAAATGGTAATTAACAAGATTTCTTTATTCATTTCCGAACTATCATATTAATAAAATATATTTCACATTTAAATATTTTTAGGTGTTGTTTCTTCTAAACAAAAATCTCTAAAGGTAATATGATTATAAAAAAAATAACCAATGTACAACAGTTGCCATACTTATTGTATTTTTTTTTTTTTTTTTTATTCCCGAATTTATAAGTCGAAAATTTATTATTTATTATTTTTATTTTAATGTTCCTTACAAAGAATATAGGATAGAGTGCCACAATTTATTATTATATTTATTTTATTCTATTTTGTTTATTTCATTATTAGAAATTTATTTTTAATTAATATTCATTTTCTTTATATTAAGTGCATTTATTTTATATTACTATCATCTCATTATTGTTATTTAAAAATTAAATTAATATTATTTGATAAGTCAAAATTTTATCACAGAGTAATTTTTATTTCAGTAATTCTAAAAATAATTGAATAATTCAAATATTAATACTGTAATTTCATACAATTATCTTTCTCTAATCGATTAATTATTTTTATGTAATATAAAACAAGAAAATCGAAAATATGATTTTTTTCTGTGTTTCGTTTGTCTCTTTTGGTTATCTATCGTTAGAATCTTTAATAAGTTTTATTCTGATCTAAGAACTCACATTCTTTCTAAGACAAATATTTCATTATGAAAACCGTGTACTATTATTTTTTCCTTCAAAAAAAAATTTAAAAAAAAATTAAAAAAAAAAATTTAAAAAAAATTAAAAAAAAAAAGAATTAAAATTTTTTTAAAAAAAAACTAAAAAAACTAAAAAAAAAAAAAAATTAAAAAAAATAGTAGTTAAATATTGGAAAATAAAAAATATTTGGGTTGAATGAATCATTTTTTATATTTACTCAAAAATTTTTTTTAATAAAGTTTAAGTTTATATCAGAAATCAATTATGACTTTCAATTATATCAAGCATCTTTATGAATTTTTTAAATGAGAATTATAAAAGCTAATTGTTTGAATAATTGCTACTAGATGTTGCAATTGTAATCGGAATTCTCAATCATATGTTTAATGCCAGAAACTCGAAAATGGTATTATTATGAATTGCATACATTTGTGAACTCTAATTAAGTCCCTCTGAATATAACTAGAACTCTTCCATTAGTCTATACTAATCGGATTTATTTAAAGGTTGTAATGACCGTCGTTAAGTAGCTTTTTAGGGTGGCATCATCGCTAAACTTCCAGACTTCCAAAAGTTCTTCTGGTGCATGATCTTTCGAACTTTTGAGTTGAAAAATTATTGCAATAACCATACTATATATATCTGATTTTGTTGTATAAATTTTGCCACAGAAAACTTCAGGAACAATGTATGGGAGATTCCTATAAATAAGATTTGATGGTTTGTCAACTGGTTCGCTCAATCCCAAATCACTAATATACCAGGAAGTAACTGGTGCTAAATATAGAATATTCCTTGAGTGCAAATCTCTGTGTTATATTTTGGTAACGAATTTCACATAGACTATCTGTTATACAGTAAATAATAGAATCATATTTTTGTAATAATGTAAGTGAGTGATAATTATCTTTTAAAAAAAAGTCTTAAATCATTTTGATAATAATTTAAGGATAACATATGATCTTAGGTTTTTGGATCTTTGGTTAGTCCATAACATGCAGCAAGAAATTGGGTAGTATACATATTCTTTTTATACAATTTTGTGCAAAAAATGTTTAAAGAATAGTATAAATAAATTTATTAAATAAATTGTATATACTTCTATTATACAAACTTGTATATTAAGTTGTAAATTTTTAGTGACATTTGATAATTCAAATATGGTTAATAAATTATTTAGCAATGTAATACTAATGTAATAAATTTTCTAAATTTTAATCATCAAAGTTCTGATCAAGTAATTGTAATTTGAATTATTCTTTACTTTTTTTTTTAATTAATTTTGGTTCTTGTTTAATGTAATTAAATCAATTATAATTTGGTATTTCTAAATTTTAAAATATCAATTGGAAACTAAAAAATCGTGCTAATAAAATGCCTTGGTTCTAAATTCTTGTTTATTCTATTAAATTATTTTGTTAAACAAAATTAAATTACAAGAGCAACAACGCAAACGAACGAAGAAACGAACTATGAATCAACGTAATACTTCACACAGTTGTCCTCTAAATATAAATAAATTCTTAATATTAAAATAATTATTAATATTTTAAGTAAAATAACAACTTTTATTTTTCAATTAATTATTTTTAAAGAATTTTAAAGATAAATTAGTTTAATTTTAATGTTAATTAATTTAACATTAATGTTGATTTTACTTTTAACGATAAAAACAATATGATATTTTAATAAAAAAATTAATAAAATAATAAAATCATATCAAAGAAATCAAACAATATTAGCTAATTATT